ACATCAGTAATGATATATGAGTCCAGATGCAGTGGCTCATGCCAGTAATCTCAACAATTGGAGAAGCCAAGGTGAGAGGGCTGACTGAGTCCAGGCATTCAAGACCAGCTAGGCAACATAATGAGATCTGGGCTCGTAAAAAAAATTTAAAAAGCTAGCCAGGCATGGTGGCATATGCCAGTAGTCCCAGTCATTCAGGAGTCTGAAGCTTAACGATCACCTGAGCCCAGGAGGTCAAGGCTGAGGTGAGCTATGATCATGCCTCTACACTCCAGCCTGGGCAAGAGAATGAGATCTCGACTCAAATACATAAATAAATGGTATAGGATAACAACAGTTTTCTATATTGAATGTATACTCGTTTGCACACTTTATTTCCATTAAATCTCATATCAATACGAGGAGATATAAAACAAAAGGTAGAACTCCTTTAAAGTAACTTAATACAAGATCATACAACTAGTAAGTGACTGATTCAAGATTTTAGGTCAAATTTGTCTTGCCTCAAACCTATACTTTTTCTTCTATGCCCAGTGAAAAGAAATCTAGACCTGATAAGGTAGGAGAGAAGTCCAGGCTAAGGACACCTATTTGAGATCAATCAGTATTTCAAGGGAGTGTCTAAAGTCATAGTCAAGAAGAGATCACTCAGGAAAATGACTTAGCATAAGACAGAACTTAGAACTTGCATGTCCCAGAAATCCTCAGACTCAATCTTGAAACAGGTTAACAGCATCTTCTTCAAAGAAGCACTGTACTGTATTTCATTAACTCTAAGATATATCTGTTTTTCAAACTTTAACCCTTCTGAAATTGGGATATAGACACCACTGTGTATCATGGTTTAATTAGCAATAGTGCTTCCTTTCTTAGTGGTACATCAAATAATGGTGCCTCCGAATTTCTGGCTTCTTAGATTTGATAAAATGTGTAAATTTTTCCTAAACTTAATCCCAAAATTTAAATCCCTTGAATCACCAAGATCTAACTTTTTTTTCCCACAATATCCCTTATATATATCCATTATTTTCCATTCTCCCTACCACCAATCTGGTTTAAAATTGTTATCAATTGCACACAGATTAAATACCGTCCTCATTGGACTCCCTGAATCCCATTTTTCCCCTATTCCAACCTCATATAGCACCATGGATCAAGCTTTCAAAATCACCATTCCTCTTCAACATATTATAGAAATTCTAGCCAAAAAATCAGGCAAGAGAATGAAATAAAAGGTATCCAAGTCAGCAAGGAGGGAATCAAACTATTTCTGTTTGCTGATAACATTATTGCATACTTAGAAAATCCTAGAGACTACCCTAAGAGAATCCTAGACCTGATAAATGACTTCAGTTAAGTTTCAGGATACAAAAACAATGTACAAAAATCAGTAGCATTTCTATACACCAATAATGCTCAAACTGAGAACAAAATAAAGAGCTCAATCCTATTTACAATAGCTATACACACACAGAAAACAATACCTAGGAATACATTTAACCAAGGAGGTGAAAGATCTCTACAAGGAGAACTACAAAACACAAATGAAAGAAATTATAGATTACACAAATGGAAGCATACCCCATGCTCATGGATCAGAAGAATTAATATCATTAAAATGACTACATTGCCCAACGCAATCTACAGATTCAATGCAATCACTACCAAAATTCCAATATTATTTTTCACAGGACTAGAAAAAACAATCCTGAAGTTTATATGGAACTCAAAAAGAGCCTGAATAGCCAAAGCAATCCTAAGTAAAAAGAACAAATGAAGAGGCATCACACTGTCTGACTTCCAATTATACTACAAGGCTATAATAACTAAAACAGTATGGTACTGGTACAAAAATGGAGAAATCAATGGAACAGAATAGAGAACTCAGAAATAAAGACACATACCTCCAACCAAATGATCTTTGACAAAGCTGACAAAAATAAATGGGAAAAGGATACCTAGTCAACAAATAGTGCTGGAAAAATTGGCTAGTCATGTGTAGAAGAATGAAACTGGACCACTACCTCTCACCATAGATAAAAATTAACTCAAGATGAATTAAAGACTTAAATGTAAGACCTGAATGAAACTATAAAAATCCTAGAAGAAAACCTAGGAAAAACTCTTATGGACATTAGCCTAGGTAAAGAATTTATGATGAAGACCCCAAAAGCAAATGTGCCAAAATAAAAAACAGAGACTTATAAACTAAATAGCTTCCGCACAGCAAAAGAAACAATCAAAAGAGTGAACAGAAACCCTATGAATGGGAGAAAATATTTGCAAATTATTCCTCAAAGAACTAACATCCAGAATCTACAAGGAACTAAAAAAAACTCAACAAGAAAAACAAAAAATCAAAAAGTAGGCAAAGGACATGAACAAACACTTCTCAAAAGAAGACAGACAAGTGGCCAACAAACATAAGAAAAAATGTTTAACACCACTAATTATCAGAGAGATGCAAATTAAAACCACAATGAGTTATCATATTACACCAGTCAGAATGGTTATCACTAAAAAGTCAAAGAACAACCAATGATGATGTGTTTGAAGATAAAAGGGAACATTCACACACTGCTGGTAGGAATGTAAACTAGTTTAATCTCTATAGAAAACAGTATGGAGGCTGGGCACGGTGGCTCAAGCCTGTTCCCAGCACTCTCCAAGGCTAAGGTGAGTGGATTGCCTAAGTCCATGGGTTGGAGAACAGACTAGACAACTTGGCGAGACCTCATCTCTACACTAAATAAAAAAAAAAAAAAAAATTAGCCAGGTGTGGTAGGGCACACCTGTAGTTCCAGCTACTCGGAAGGCTGAGGCAGAAGGATCACCTGAGCCCAGCAGGTCAACACTGGAGTGGCCATGAGCATACCACCGCACTCCAGCCTGGGCAAAGGAGTAAGACTCCAACTCAAAAAAAAAAAAAGAAAAGAAAAGAAAACAGTGTGAAGACTCCTCCAGGAACAAAACATAGAAATACTACTCGACTCAGCAATCCCACTACTGTGTATCAATCCCAAGGGGGAAAAAAATCATTATATGAAAAACATACCTACATTTGTATGTTCACTGCCCTACTATTCACAATAGCAAAGTCATGGAACCAACATAAGTGCTCATCAACAACTGAAAACGTAGCATATATACACCATGAAATACTATGCAGCCATAAACAAGAACAAAATTATGTCCTTTGCAGCAATATGGATGGAGCTGGAGAACATCACGCTAAGAAATCTAACTCAGAAACAGAAAACCAAATACCGCATGTTCTCACTTATATGTGGGAGATAAATAAACATAAAAATAGAAATAACAGACACTGGGGACACTAAAAGGCAGAGAGTGGGGCGAGGATTCAGAAGCTACCTGTTGGGTACAGTGTTCACTATTTAGGGAATAGGGACATCTAAAGCTCAACCTCCACCAGTATACAATATGCCCATATTACAAACATGCATTTATACCCCTTGAATCTCAAGCAAAATAATTTTTAAAAATTTTTTTAAACTTTCAAAATCAACACCGTATACATGTCCCTATCTCAAACTGGTTCCTCACTGCATTTAAGGGAGATTCCAATCTAGTTTCCAAAGCTTCCATATTCTGGCCTAAGTTGACCTTCACACCCTTTCTTAATCAATATAAGCCTTCTACTCTAATCAAGCTCTTCTATTCGTGGTCCCTCAAATGCTCTAACTTCTGTCTATTAACCTCACCAATCTCTCTGACTGAAATTCACCCAACCAACCCTGACGCCATTCAAATCAAATTTCAAGGCTCAACTCAAGCTCCATAACCTCTATGAATCTCAATCATTCCAAGCCACTTCCTCTTCTGAAGTTCCATAATATGTACCTCTTGAATACCGTTGTACGTTTAACTTTTCATGCAAGTTATGTCTTATTCCCATAACAAAATTAAAAAGATCAAAGGCAGAGACTATGTTTATACTCTGTCACCTAGACTGGAGTGCAGTGGCACACTCACGGCCACCCCAGCATCGACTTGCTGGGCTCCAGTGATCCTTCCGTCACAGCCAAGTAGCCGCAACTACAGGCACATGCTACCAACCACACCCAGCCAATTTTCTTTTTTTAATTATTGTAGAAACAAGGTCTCGCCAAGTTGCCGGGGCTGGTCTCGAACCTGCAGGCTCAGGCAATCCACACGCCTCAAAGTGCTGGGATTACAGGCTGAGCCACTGAGCTCAGCCTATGTTTTATACTTATGCAGCATAGTTTAGTGGTTTGATTACACAGCCTCTGGACCCAAATTACAAAGGTTTGAGTCTCAGCTCTGCATCTTCCTGCATGACCTTGGGCAAGTTACTTAGCCTCTCTATGCTTGTGTCCTCATTTGTAAAATGGAGTCAATAATAGAATATATCTCAAAAGGTTGTGAGAATTAAATGGTTATGTAAGACCTATTCTCGATACACAGTAAGCACTTATAAGTGTTAACTGCTATTATTTTCACTAATAAATGAGTAGAAAAGCTTGATTACAGTAGAAGGCTTATGTTGATAAGTGGTGATAAGTGTTAGAAATGCTATATAATTGTCAGCTGCACTGTGCATGTTACATAAGAGTTAGCTATTATTATTCGTATTTGGAATCTTCATCTTCATGGTACCGAAAATAATAAGTCACAGCATGTACTCAGTATTTATTTGATGGAAGAGAGAGGGAAAGGTCCTAGTATGAGAACAAGCTTTTCAGCAAAGTGTCTATTTCCAACATTCTGGGGAGCAATTGGAGAAATTGGCCCAGAAATGGCAAAAATACCTATTTTGGAATCTACAAAAGCTAATCAATTTAGAAGGAATTAACAGGAGAATGATAGGGAGAGACACTCCCTAGGAAGCTACCTATTCATAAGCCTACATATATCATGTATACCTGCACTATATAGTTTTATAGTAAAGTTTATGGTTGCAAATGGCATAAGATACAAACAAAACTTCTTGTTGTGTTTAGGATTAAGTAGGTACTTACTGAGCATGCCTCTATAATTGAGGTCCATATCCCGGCTCTCTGATCGTACTTTAATAGCATCCAGAATAGCATCAGGAGACAACAGTCCTGAAGGCCTCACAACATTCAGAAGTTCAGTGAGGCTCATCAGAGGTAAACGCACAGCCTGCATGATTTCAGCATGATTCTCCTTTGAATTGTGCTTACACCAGTTTAACAAGGCTAAGAAAATATCTTTTTCAGGAGCTGCAAATGAATCTCTTAATACGATGTTTAAGAGTGCTGTCTGAAAAAGATAAAAAGGTAAAATTCCAGTTATTATGAAGCTCAACCACGTGCATGAGCAATCAGTAAAAAATTAAAGAACTATAAATATTACTTATATTTACTAATTAACTCTTTTTGATCCTCTTCTTTCCTTATGCTTTATGCCACATATTCTCCTGCTTGTTGTGGCTGTGTGAATAACAAGAAAGGATGGTAGCACCTTTCTTTCCTGCTCTGGTATCCTGTACCACCACATCAAACATCTACTCTTTCTAAACACATCTGTACTGATCTTTTTTAAAACAACAAAAATAGCAAAATGATGAGCTGTCAATACACAGATTCTTCAAGAGAGTGTATACTTTTAAGTCAGTAAGATACATCTGGCATTTAAAATTCAAAGCCTTTTATTCCACAGTATTACTGCACTACCATATATTTGGCTCTCAGATCTCCAGACTGACCTCAGCAACACTAATGCAACCCTCAAAGATCCTTGTCTTTAAAAATTAAGTAGGATCATAAAAATATTAATTTACACTCAAATCAAGATATATAGGTTTTCTCATTAGAAGTACTATAGCCAGGTTTGAGAAAGAACACAAGGGAAAAGGAGAGATAACCACCCAGAGTTCTGAGAAAGATTTGTGAATTTTAAGCCAGCAAAAAAAGCAGTGACTTAAAGGCATTCAATGACACATCATAGCTCCTTTATGAGTTTTCCTTCTTACTATAAGGAATTATTAGTTGTACTCTCTATTAGAGAAAAACAAAACCACAAGGTAGAATGTAATACCACAAAAGGCCCTATTTGACTATCACCACACTGGAAACAACCACTCAGCAGTACCAGAATAACTTTAAAAGAAAACAGAACCAATCAGTCTCTTTCTTTTTTTTTTTTTTTTTTTTGAGTCGGAGTCTCACTCTGTCGTCGCCCAGACTGGAGTGCAGTGGCCGCTCCCGGCCACCGCAGCCTCGACCCACTGGGCTCCGGCGATCCTTCCGCCTCAGCCTTCCAAGTAGCCGGAATTACAGGCATGCGCTACCACGCCCAGCTGATTTTTTTATTTATTGTAGAGATGAGGTCTTGCTGCCCAGGCGGGTCTCAAACCCGCGGGCTCAGGCAATCCACTCACCTCAGCCTCCCAAAGGCGCGAGATTACAGGCTGAGCCACCGAGCCCGGCTTCTTTTTTTTTTTTAATGAGTTGGAGTCTCACTCTGTCGCCTAGGCTGGAGTCCAGTGACACACTCCCAGTCACCACAGGTTCAACCTGCTGGGCTCCAGTGATCCTTCCGCCTAGGCCTTCCAAGTAGCTGGAACTACAGTCGCACGCTATCACGCCCGGCTAATTTTTTGATTTATTGTAGAGATGAGGTCTCGCCAAGTTGCCCAGGCAAGTCTCGAACCCGTGGGCTCAGGCAATCCACTCACCTCGGCCTCCCAAAATGCCAGGATTACAGGCTGAGTCACCGAGTCCGGCTTAGCCTCTTTCTTATATGGCCTAGAGTCCCAGCAACTAGACACAATAGCTAAACCAGATAAGCTCTTTGATACCAATAACTTACTTTTATTTGTAGTCCATTGCTATCTTTCTACTATACATATATAAATAAAATAATACATGCCTATAAATTACCTGCAGAAAAATGACACACCTTAGAGAGAGAGAGGAAGCCTTCACTTGAGAGCACCTCCTGAGCATTCCTGTCCATAAACATGCAGCACATACAAGTTAACTTGGGAAGGGAGTAGAGACTGGCTACATCAAAAGTCATACAGACATTCTGAATGTTAAGTATGGTGCAGAGATACTCAGAGGTAGAATCCTCCAGCTCTGGAAATCCATATTTATGAGCCAGGCTCAAAAAGTCCAGCAGCACCTCCTCCTTTTCATCTGTCAGTGTAGCCCGCCCAGTGTAGATATATTTGAGTAGCATTGTGAATGCTTCTGCAGTCGTGTCTTGGAGAGGGATTTCTGCTTCAGGCTGAGACTCTCGCATTCCACCATACAGCAATGCTCTGCACATCAGAGAGGAAATACATGAAGAAAACCCCAAATAGGATTTGCTACAAATAGGATTTTCTAGGAAATAAGAGTTATCAACATTATACAAGCAGAAATGTGTTTAATGACACAAAGATCCAGGTAAAAACATGTGAAGTAATCATTTTAAATGGTTCTTTTTTTTTTTTCTTTTTTTGAGTTGGAGTCTCACTCTGTTACCCAGACTGGAGTGCAGTGGCACACTCCGGGCCACCACAGCCTCAACCTGCTGGGCTCCGGCGATGCTCCCGCCTTAGCCTTCCAAGTAGCCAGAACTACAGGCACGCACTACCACGCCCGGCTAATTTTTTATTTATTGTAGAGACCAGGTCTCGCCAAGTTGCCTGGGTGGGTCTCAAATTCGCTGACTCAGGCAATCCACCAGGCAGACCTTAAATGGTTCTTTAAAGAAAGCAAGAGGGGCCAGACACAGTGGCTCAAGCCTGTAACCCCAGCACTCTAGGAGGAGGAGGCAAAAGGACTGCCTGAGGAAGGAAGGAAAGAAGGGAGGGAGGGAGGGAGGGAGGGAGGAAGGGAAGGAAGGAAGGAAGGAAGGAAGGAAGGAAGGAAGGAAGGAAGGAAGGAAGGAAGGAAGGAAGGAAGGAAGGGGAATGATTTCAAAACTATTTTGAAATAATTCTACAAACCCCTGAAATGAGATAACTTGAGAACTCAAGACAAATGATAGATATTAAATAGAAAGATAAAAGTCATCTTTTGAGAGGAACAATGAAATCAATATAATCAATATAAAGATGTTAAAGGTCAATAGGTAGTTTAAAAAGTAAAACTCTATAGCAAAAGATGTAATGAGATAAAAACAAGCAAACACCAACCTGATGCCATTCTCCCCATGAGACTGGCAGAAATTAAAAAACTTGTTAATATCCAGCACTGCAAAAGCAGTAAGAAAACAGGTTCTTTCATGCACTGCTTTGAAAATATTTACAAATGGGCACTCCCTTTTGAAAAATAATAATATCTACTCAAATCTAAAATGTGCATAACCCCTCAACTCAGTAATCTTTTAGGACTCAACTCTAGAGAAATAATACAGTACAGTAAAGGAAAATGGATAAGAATATATAGTGAAACACCCCAAAAAAATCTCAATGTCCATCAATAGGAACATGGTTGAAAAAGCTGTAATATATACCTTCTACGCAATCACTAGAAAGGTCAAAGGAGTTCAATATGTACTGTTTTGGAAAGATATCCAGTATATAGTAGACAAGTAAGTCAAACTGCAGATCCATATGTACTGCATGGAGAAAAGTCTACAACCACATCCTTATATGTCTATGTACATATGTATATTTAGATATATCTGCTTAAATCAAGAAAATACCAAAGGAAATTCATATTAAACTATTAATATCAATTATCTCTAGGGAATAGTATTAAATGACTGGGACAAAGAACTTTTATTTATTACTTTATAAATAAAAATTAAATTACTGATGGAATTATGGGTGATTTGATTTTCACTTTTTGTCTTTCAAATTTAAAAAAGCTCCACATTATTGCTTACCTGCTTGTCTAAAAAATGAAAACTAGACAATCCAGTCATTTAGTCTCATCAATACTTAGGTTGCTTTTAATGTGGGATTGTCAAACGACATGTCTTAGAGAGATTGTTGGGTTACCAGCATGTCCTGGACCTCAGTGGTCTCCAACCAAGAAGTATATACGTCCATGAACAAGTCCAGATGTCAGGCTACCTATACAACAAAAAGCCTACCTGCCATAAATCAATTTAAGTCCCATTAGTTATCTTCTATGAGGAGGAGGTGAGGGCAATAAAGACTCAGTCTTAGAATATTCTTAAGATCTTGAAAAATAGTTGACTGGGTACTATCTGGCCTGAGAAGCCTTCTAACCCCTTAATTTTAAGATTGTTCCTAAAGGAAAATGTGATTCTCAAAAAATAACAATAAGTCTACAAAGATGAAATTCTCATAGATGCTGAACTGAGGGACTGCTAGAGTTTGTCATTATTCTTGGTTACATATTCTACATAGAGCAGAAAATACCAGTGTACTCTACAAGTGAACTGAATCTTCAAAAAAGTATTATACACTTACCGAAAATACTGGCATCTGGCTGCTAAAATTACCCTGTGGGCAGGAAAACGTTTCTTTTCCACAACAAATGTAACGTCGCCATATTCTTCCCCAATCAACAAGGCACCAATATGTTCAGACAAAATGTGCACATGATCAATTTCCCCCACTGCAGTAAAAGGGCGAAGAGGGTGGCTGTTACTCATCTTGTAGAATAGACGATAGTCGCTGATCTATTATATAAAGAAGAAATGAGAGTTAGTTGGGCAGGGGAATAAGCTTAGAAAATCACATACTATAAACACAGCTAAGCAAATATTTAAAGTACTTAAAAAAAATTCACATGAGAGAGTGTTAATCATCAATAGTATCTTTATTAAGCCATTTATTCTGAGAAGCAATTCAGCCTTCTTCCATGAACTTTATACTTCAGGGGGAAAGTGAAAGAAAATGTCAGCATCTCCAAACACTAACAACACTTGGAACCATCACAATATAGAAAACTGAGCCCCAAAACAAGTCTCACATTCCTTACAGTATCTCAAGAAAAGAAAAATCAACAATCAGGGTAACTCCTCTTTTACATAGATATATTTAATAAGATTGGGTACAATTATACCCAGTAGAAAAGTGATTCAGATATACATCTAGGTCTAAATTACAAACAGAATAAATGAAATAATCAGGCTTCAACTAAGTTTTTATCTGAAACCCTCTTAAAATAAAATTATAATCTTCTGGAGTCACATAAATAACTTGGTATTTATTAATAAAAGTTAACAGTGCTTCCTAACCACCCCTACCCCAGCAAAAGAAAAACTCCAATATTTTTCTCAAGACTTCCATTCCAAACTGTCTGCCAGTGTTACCAGAACATCATGATGTTTTAGTTCTTTTACAGGCCCATTCCTTGCCTTTATCTGCATGCAATGCCTTTCTATAACTGCAAATCAAAGGGCTAAAACATGATTAACAGCTTTCCATGTTAGACAGGGGAGTTATGTTCTTTGAAAGATAAAAATGTTTATATTTTTGCTAGTGCACTTGCAGGTACTGCCTTCATAAGTGTGGTAACCAGCAAGTGCTTCAGGCCTTCGCTAGCATTCTGGAGTCCCTGGTGGAAAGGTGGCTGACAGTGCACAGATAGCCACTACCCGCCGTTGCACCAGAGCCTAGGGGAATTGAACCAGATGTGCTGTCTCTACTGGACCACTACAACTTTTTGAACTCTCCACCTGAACCACAATTAGAGGTTGAGCAGCTCCTAATCTTTAAAATTTCACACCCAGATCCATAATTAGCAAGGTGTGTGAAAAATGGTCTTTCTCTCCTGCTACTGCAGTGGAAGATCCTCAGAGACTAGATTCCCAAACTGCCTGTTTCAGTTAACTGACCACCAAATGCCTACCCCCAGTAGGGGGTGAAACAGCCAAGTAGGATGATGCAGAAGAACATGTAAAATGAACTATGCAAGGAAACACTCGCCCAGGTAAGTGAGCAAAATCCTGGTTCCCTATAGTAGGAGCACCAGAGGGATAGCAGCATACTCCCCTAATTGCCAAAGTAAATCCTTCTCCCTCAGCTGCAGCCTCTATTTGAAAACCTGAAAAGCCGAATCATCTCCAGTCAGTTGTGTATGAATGACCAATTCAACTTAAGAGATCTATTTAGGAATATGAGCAAGTAATGTATGATACAATAGTCTAATGTGTAATACACTAACAGTATAACACAGGAGTTGGCAAGCTTTCTATAAAGGGTCAAACAGTAAATATTTTAAGGTTTTGCAAGCTGTACAATCTATGTCACAACTATTCAACTCTGTAGTGGGAGCCTAGAAGCAATAGGCAATAAGTAAATGAATGTACATGGCTATGTTCCAATAAAACTATTTATACAAAACAGCCAGATTAGACCCTCAGACCATAGCTTGCCAACCTCTGGTCTAACATGTGATCAAGAACTGAGTGTACTCTAGACAAAGGACCAGACTGGGTTTTTTTGTTTCTCGCTGGGTTACCCAATCGACATTCAAAATAACATGGTCACTTCCTATGGCCGCCAGGAAATTCTAAAAGCTACTGGAACCTGACTTCAAAATCTCGTTCCTCTTAAATACAAACTCTCACAACACTATCCACTATTCAGTGTTGGTATATAACTCTAAACAAAACAGACTCTTCCTGGCAGAAATAATGCAATGCATACACCCAGTGAATATATTCTCTGGTATAATATTCTGTTAATATTTTATCTAGGTCATGGCTAACACTCAAATCACTTGCTTAATGACTTGATGAACAATGATTGATTTTTTTTTTTTTTTTTTTTTAGTCAAGGGTCTCACCCTGTCACCCAAGCTAGAGTACAGTGACATAATCACAGTTCACCAAAACCTTGAACTCCTGGCACCACACCCAGTTAATTTTTTTTCTTTTTCCTTTTTTTAATGTTTTGTAGAAATGAGGTCGTGCTATGTTGCCCAGGCTGGTCTTGAACTCCTGGGCTCAAGCAATCCTCCTACCTCTGCCTCTCCAAGTGCTGGGATTACAGGCTTGGGCTACCATGTCTGTCCCAATGATTGATTTTTGGCTAACCAGTTCAGAGAGAAATTTATAATTCTTCAACTCATACTTCATAAACATTAATACTACATATGTTGGGACTTAGCCAGACCCAACAATTACGTCAGTCATTCTTTATAATAAATAAATTCATGTATATCATCCCTAAAAAAAACTACATATGTAAATTCTACCTTAATATGTTCTCCAGATCTTCACCTCTCAATAATATAATTTTATTTTGCTAAATTTACATTTTAATTATGCTTTTCCAATTAGAGACAATAAAAATACTGCCTGGTACAGAAAACAGCTACTTAATATAGAATACATACAATTTTATTGGCATATAGAAATAATTTTAATTAGACCAGTGATTCTCAATGAGCTTGCCATACAGTGGAAAGGGAAAAAAAAGAAGAAGAAGAAAAAAAAAGGTGCCTGAGTCCTATTCATCAGAGACTGTTATTTAACTGTTCTAGAATGGGGCCCAGGCATTGGAATCACCATTATGAAGTGATTTTAATGAGCAACATGGAAAAGAGCCACTGTATACAAGTATACAAAAAAAAAATCCACAAAAAAAATCATTGACGATATAATTCTATTTTGAATCTTATTGTACAGAAGTAAATGGTGTTAACAGTTACCAGTGCCACAGTGTATACAGAAAATGAGTTCTTTTACAAAAATGGACTAATGTACCTACAAAGTGATAATTTGAATTTACCCATGCATATTTTTTAAAGTGTATCTTAGAAACCACATATCAATGAAGTGAATGATTTTTTAAATTACATGGTATAACTTGCTACTGCCTTTTAATATTTCTTTGTTATGGCCTGTCATTTAAAATCAAGATGCTTTGGCTAATAAATAAGAATGTAACATTCAAAATCAAAGGTAATGAAGAGGAGTGGATGTTTTTAAAAGTTTGTACTAATGCATTATTAATGTGGTAAATAGTCCCAAAGATGTCTGCCTTCAATATTTGTCCTTTCAATATACACACATACCACCTCTCCATTGAGAAGTGGATTCCATTTCCTTTCCCTTTGACTCTGTGCTTGCCCTGGGATTGATTCAAACACGAGAAGTTATGTTCTGGGCCTAAGCCTTAAGAACATTTGGCAGCTTCTGTTTTTGCACTTTTGGGACCCGTGAGCTGCCTTGACCATGCTGGAGTGGCTACATGGAAAGAAAGAGGCAAATAAAAAGTAACTGCATTAGGAAACAAGGAGGAAAAATAATGATTATCTGTAGATAATGATTGCTCACATGAAAACTCTGTAAGAATCAACTGGAAAAAAATGTCATAGAAAATAAATGACATTCACTAAATTACAAATAATTAAAATAATTACATGAAAATATATAGTATTCATCCATGTCAAAAACAACAAGCTGGAAAATATGAAAAAAAAATTTGCAATTTATAACTGCAAAACACATGAAATATCTAGGAATAAACTTATAGGACATGTAAAGGAAATTATAGTTATATTGAAGAATTTAATAAAAATGAGTGAAGAGACATACAATGGGGATAGAGTGATCTAATACTGTAAAAAGATCAATATTTTCAATCAATTTTTATCAGGAGTCAACCCCATTGCAAGTCTAGGAAGATTCCTGTATTTACATAAATGTAGCATTTCAATTCAATGAGGAAAAATATGGATTTTCTTCCAATAAAAGATATTGGCTAGTCATTTTGAAAAAAAGTAAACTGAATGAATACTCATACAAGAGTACAAAATTTAAAACATATGGATGTTAGTTTCAGAACTTTCTGTAATAGCATAAAACTAGAAAAAAATAAATTTCCGTTTAAATGGAGGTGGTTAGACCAGGTGCAGTGGCTCAAGCCTATAATCCCAATACTTTGGGAGGCCGAGTCAAGAGGACTGCCTAAGCTCAGGGGTTCGAGACCACCCTGGGAAACATAGCGAGACCTTGTCTCTACAATAAATAAAAAACTGCTGAGTGCAGCAGCTGGAGCCTGTAATCCCAGCACTTTGGGAGGCAGAAGCAAAAGGATTGCCTGAGTCCACGGGTTTGAGACCATAGTGGGCAAGCTGGTGAGCCCTCATCTCTACAATAAATCAAAAAATTTGCTGGGTATGGTGGCATGCACCTGTAGTTCCAGCTACTTGGAAGGCTGAGGTGGAAGGATCACCTGAGCCCAGCAGGTTGAGGCCACGGTGGCCATGAGCGTGCCTCTACACTCCAGTCTGGCTGACAGAGTGAGACTCTAAGTCAAAAAAAATTTTTTTTTAATTAAAAAATAAAGGAGGTGGTTAAACAAATAATTGCATATCTTTATAATGAAATATTATAAATGATTAAAAAACAATAAAGTTGCTCATAACATTGAAAAAAACCTTAAACATATGTATTTACATGCAAATGGCAAGCTATGAAACAGTAGCACAGTAAGCTCTTCTGTTTAAAAAAATAAAAATAAACACTGAAAAAGCAAGAAAATACATCAAAATATTAACGAGTTAATCCAACGGATCAAGGCTGTGGAAAAATTTTACATAATGAGATAAATATTTCCATAATGTTTTAAAATTTTATAATAACCATGTTTTATTTATAGTAAAACTATAAACAAATATTTCAATAAATTTGGTCACTAAAATTATAAAATAAATTAATT